ATATATATATATATATATATATTTTATATATTATATATTAATTTATTCCTCTGCACCTATGTTGTAAACTGGAACTTTCACTTTGTTGTACTACCCACTCCAACAAATTCGTTTTAATGTTGAGATGTACAGGAAATATTTTCACCTTAAAAAATAAACACAGTAAAGTATTTATAAAAGACTCATGGATATTAAGTCCTACAATCCTTGAGTTTTGACACTTAAAAGAAAGGTACAAAGGTATGATGGATTGATATTTTAGTTCTGCAAATGGTCATATATATATATATATAAAATCATATATGGATCATCCCACTTCTATTCCATATCATAGCTAGAGAAATATTAATGTTTAGCCTCTCACACCCTAGAAGAACAAGGACCAAAAAAATGAGCAGATACTCAGTGTCCCCTTAGTGATCACCTTTAATCAATTATCACAGTTGTATTACCTGTTGTTATTAATATTTTATAATACATTTATTGTGGTTCATAAAAAAAGGCCTAATTTAAAAGTCACCAACACCTTGCTGTGTTTATTTAGGTGATTGGTGCAATCCTGTATCCTTTAACATGTTTAAGAATAAAACAGAGGCGCAGCTGAGCATTACCAGGCGCGTGCTTGAAAACGCACATAATAAGGAGGAAATCCTGCTTTGCATGTCAGGAAAATGTTCCCTTGGAGAACAGGGTTTTACTTTTGTTTGCTACGGGTGAAAGGAGGGCGGGGGGTGTTTCTCCCTGTCCCCTCCTCCTCACCCAGAAAAGAAAAAAAAAAATTGACCTGCCCCTTTTCCATTCCCATGGATCGTATTACGGCAGACTCCATCTCCGAGACATCTGCTGTGCCATTAACAACAGAGCGCGTCTCCTCCGCGTCCCCCCTGTCCTCCGGTCGTGTGGTGGCCCCTGCTCCTGCGCTCTCATCGTTTTATGCCTCCATCATGAGGAGCCACCGCGCGTCTGTCCTCCACGTTTCCCGGCGGCTTTAGTCCCAAACCAGACCGCTCCATCCCTCCACCGAGCGAGACGCGAGAGGAAAGCAGTCGGTGGCCCCCAGCCGCTGATTTCTTTTTGTTTGTGCGCTCCATGGCTGCGCGGCTTCGCATCCTCGGATGATCCAAACAAGCATCGACACGATTAATGAGTGACCAAAGCTGAACCTTGGGATCCGCGCACAGTTTTTTCTACTCTCTTAAAGCTTTATTTAGTTAGTTTGTTTGTTTTGGACACCATGGAGTCTGTGGAGAAGGAGTGCGGAGCGCTGGGTGGATTATTCCAGGCCATCGTGAACGACATGAAGGTAAAGCGCAGTTATTTAATTAAACTGGGGTTTTGATCTGACCCGTGTTTCTGCACAGTGGCTTTGCATGCGCATATTATTTTTTTTACTGCCTTTGTCTGTATCACCGGGTCCTCCCCCACATCCCACATGAAACACCGCTGCAGGACAGGCCAAGGGATGAGACATGTTTCCCTTTGTGTTATTTGCATAATGTGCAGCAGGTCCGTGAGGCAAGTGGTTGCCACAACACTCAAAACCAGTGTGCCATGCTGTTTACCAAACACACACTGCCCAGATGCATGCTTAATGGGAAATAATTACCCAGTTTAATTGTTTCAGTTGTCATAGCAATATCCCAACAATTCCTGTGTCCTCTTGAAAAACAAAAGGTAGGGAAGAAGATGAGTAAATGCATAATAATGAGTTATCCCATTGGAAGTGATGGTGTGACATTTGACCCCAGATATTGCTCCCTCTTTATTCTAATCATGGCAGGATGGTCTGAAAGGAAATAACACTCTCATCACCTCAGCCTCTCCAGCAGAAACAGGCATGAGAGGTTATTGATTGTGCTTCCTGATGTCTGGCCTTGTGCCATTAAATCATCTTCACAATATGGTGTTTTAGTGTTTAATTCAAACCAGGGGCATTGGTCATTTAACTGATTTAACTTGTTAATAATTTGTGGTAAATAGGTTAACAGTCTTTTAAAGAATATATGTGTTATATTTTCATAAGAAGGAGTTACTTTTGGAAGCGTGTATTTGTGTGTATTGGGGGAAGTCAAGGAAGTTGTTCCAGGGTGGTCTGTTGTTGTTCTCGTCAACAGATGGAAAGTGTGAACATATCCATCAGGCCTGCAGGCAGCTCCCTGCCATCTCATTGTTTAGGACCCAAATGGTGCTTGCAAAGCGCTCAGCAAAGCAAACGAATGACGAATCAGGTCTAGCATTGAGGCTCAAAGATTTTTTTATTGATCCAAAGCTCATGGGACCTTATACCATGGAGATGGGTTATTTTCAGTCTGCTCAGTCATCGGGCTCAGATGAAATGACCTTTCAGCTATTGGCAGCATTTACTTAGTTTCATATGTTTTTCCTTTGTGTTATGGTTATGCTAGGACCGGAGGGATGCTGGAGCTCTCCGACAGAAGCAGTTTTTGTATTGATAAGCAGCACAGATGAATGGGGCTGAAGCCCTTAGTCAGCACAGCATCAATGTCCAAGGCCTGAGACAAAAGGTCTGACCTCATTGCTGTCTCTCTTTTTGGGCAGTTGAAGCATGCATGACCAGCTTTTAGCATCAGCATTGTAGGCCAGCATTCTTGATTTTGAACAGTGACCGGACAGAGATTATCCTTATTTGCATGTGCTGTTCCCTTGGAGTACTCAGATGTCCTATTCCCCAGGCATGCTGAACTCTACAGATGTAAAGGGATAGCACTTGATTACCATCAGAAGACAACCCTCTCAGCTTCTTTATCTAGTATAAATTCAGATTAGTTGGTCCCAGAGTCTTAGAATAATGGAAGTCTGAGGGCTGCTAAAATAAAAGTGGCTTCTACTGCCTCAAAATCTCTCTGGTCTCAAATTATCTTAAAGTTTTATGAAAATATTTCCTATTAAAGTTGTATTACTGTTATATTTACATTCAGTTTACAGTTTGTTTATGAAGATGCAAACAATTAAATGTAGATATTGTAGGTCTTCATTCATGTACCATGGGAAGTAGTGTTGCACTGATACCGATACCAGTATCGGACGGGGCCCCGATACTGCCCTAAAATGGTGGTATCGGTATCGGCGAGTATCAACAAATAGGGCACCGATACCATTTTGAGAGCCATAAGTTTCTTCAACTATTGTCACCCATTACAGGTAGACAATAAAAAGTTCTACTGGATTCACTTTGTATTAGATTTTTTCCTGCTTCACAAAGGTAGGCAGCAGCTTGACAAAGCCATAATGGCAATTATTTTACAATATTATTGTATCGGTATCGGCCGATACTGCACAGCCAGGTATCGGGTATCGGGGCCAAAAAATGGCATCGACGCAACACTAATGGGAAGTGGAGGTAACAGGTACTTTAACAACAGGGGAACGGTTTAAAATTTTAAATATAGAAAACTAAGCCAATATCGAAACCAACAGAAAATACTACAAAAATACTATATTATTTTTTGGTTTTACATGCCTCTTTACTTGTCTGTCATGTTTTCAGTTTGAAATTATACATTTTATGTTTGGTTTGTTTAGGTATTGCAGTTTTTATTGTTGTTCAATTAAAATATTGTTCTGATACCAAAATACAAAGGAAAAATTTTTTTTTTATTTGAGCAAGGATCTTATATGAACATTTAACTGCGTTCTCTACTGTCACCATCCCAGTTGAAGTAAAACCTGTAAAAAAGCCCTTCAATTAATCAACAAGACACATAAGAAGCTCCAAAGTAATAATAATTGATTTTTATTGATCTCACATTGCTGAAATTTACCTCTGCATTTAACCCATCCCCTTGGGTAGCAGTGGGCTGCCATTGTGCTGGCGCGGGGAGCAGTGTGGTACTTGCAACCTTCTCAGAGTACAAGCAAACTGCTCTGACCACTAGGCCAACACTTCCCAGTAGGCACAACCTTTTGCATTGTTACCTTATGCTTTACTAAATTTCTTCCTTCTGTCTCCAGCTCTTTCACAATTAGTTGTTTTTTTCCAGCAGGTTCCCAAAAACCTGTTATACAAACTGTTTGAAGGCAGTAGATGTTTCTTCAATGTCGTTTCAGTCAGCCCTATGAGGGGTTTCATGCATGAACTTTTTCTACAGACACCAACTCTAGGACTACTCAATTTTTTGATGGAAAATAAGAAACTCACAAAGATATGAGAGAATCTAGTATCATATATTAATACAATTTTCCTTTTTAGGGAAGATTTCGTAATGTTTTTACTTTGTGAGAACTCTTGTCATAAAACAAAGATTAATGGTTGTTATTATTCCCATTAATAACCATCCGATGCAAATGAGAGGGCACTTTGAAAATGATTCAATGATTTTTGCTTTAGCAAAAACAGCAGTTTTAAATTGGGTCATTAAACTTGACGTTAACTTCAACGACCAGATATAACCAATCTGGATTTATGCTAAAGAGACCAAAACAGTTGTCTTCTAGACATAACATAGTAAATGCTATCTCTGTAAGGTTATCTAAAACACAAGTAAAGTGCATGAGCATCATGCAAATACAATAAGGACACTCTGATCTCATTATTTGGCTACAGTGAGGAATGTTGAGCTGATAAAAGTTAAGTTAAAGCTCAAACAGTACATTACTGACAGCCAAGTACAGGATAAGTAGAAGTATGACAACGATTTAACTGCTTTGTGAACAAAACTATTGTTTTAGATGAAAACCAGATATAGTCTTGCCTTCATGACAGTAATGTATGATTATAGGTGAGACGCCTTTGTACCAGTTCAAAAACATGGGAGGAGAGGGTATTAAACTAAATTAGACAAATGGTTACCTTTCACAAACAGATAACAATATAGACTAATTTAACAATAGGTGTGGTACAAGGGTGGATTGCAAATAGGTTTGTGATTATTGCTTGCCATCTTTAGTCGGATGGTTCATACTAACAATGCATGTTTAATTTCATACCCACCAAGGAGAATATATTATACCTGCTCTGATAACCAACAATTTAGATTAGATTGCTATCCATTATCTACCCATTGCCTTTTGTAAGGATATTTTCCTATATTTGTTTTATATTTAGAAGTATACTGACACAAGGAGGTCAATTAATGTTGGTATATAACCAATGATATTTGTCAATTATTTTATGAGAATCAGCCAGATAAAGGGTGAGAAGTATGGATGATGGAAATACGGTGTAACACACAGTTTTTAGAAAATTATATGTAATTTAGGTAAAATGCCTATGTGACCTGACCATTTATACTATCTTCATAATTCCTGAACTTAATTACAGACACAAAAACATAAACATGGTTTCAATAAAGGGGAAGAAAACTGTTGAAATAAACAAATTAACTACAAAAAACTCAAAGTTGCCTTGAAGCAGGCCTATCTGAAACCAGGACCAAACACATTTGTCCTTTTTAAATAAGCAAATTATAGTGTTTGTGTGTGTTTCATATAAAGGAAAAGCCAAATGCAGTTGTATTAAGTGATAAAAGTCATTTACCTTTATGTTTGTGTATTGCAAATTATAACTAATGCAGTTCAGTACAAGAAAAAGGGCACATAGGTGTGTAGAAATACATCTTTAAACGTGTAAAAGGGGGCTAAATGGCATTTTTCCCTTTTTTGATTTAAAAGAATTTGATACTTTATGATTTAATCTACTGGTACTAGATTAAATCAAAAATCACAATAGAAGTGCTTTTAAAAGTGAAACTAGTTGAAGCCCTTCTACAAAGCAGAACTTCAAAAATGTGAAACTATCCCTTAAATATTTTCATCCAAACAGGTCTGTTGGTTATATAACAGTCTGACGAAGCTGAGGGGAAAGAAATAAAAAGGAGTGGGAGGTGATAGAACAGTCAGTGAAAGGGTGAAAGGATGACAGCAGTGACTCATCTGAATTAGATCAGCAGTTCGATCAGATTTGAGTGGCACATTTTGATTTTGTCCTTGAGGAATGAGGATAATGCTTTTATTTAATCCTTGCATGCTCTCCTGGATAGTGTGCATGTCTTTGCCCGCTTCTTTCACCCTGGTTTCTCAGCTGTCTTAATGCTTACTTTCTGCCCCTGGGAGCCACAAACCTTACAAACTAATTAGACACCTGTTGAAGCAGAGCATGAACAGTAAGACTGGGAGGCTCAGAGCAAATTTTATGTATTTTTTTAAAGAGTATAGCCTCTAAATCACTGTCATAGGGAAATGCTTTATCCAAGAAAAGCTGGGAGTTAACCTCTGTCAATGCCAGAATAGGGGTTACACCAGAAGCGCTGAGGAGGGAGACACTTACCAGATTGCATCTTGGCTATATATAGTCAGATCGTGTAACCCTTCTTTTTTTGGCTCATCTCCATCAAAGAGTCACACTGGGGTTATGCCTTCCCTCTCTTTTCTCCAGGGCTCAAGCTCTTGCTTTAATAGGATCTAGCATTGAATGTGTTATGGTTTTGGTTTCTGGACTTAAAGCTCAAAGCAGACTGGGATTATCAAAGGTAAATTTTATCCAGATTCTTCAAAGACAAGTCCATCTGACCTGCACAAGAAAAAAGTAATTGAAGAGCCTCTGTCTGACCTTATTATGTAAGCAGCAGACAGATTCCTTTCAATAGATTCATTTAAAAAGCACATTAAAACAATCACGATGCTACAGATTAAAAAAGAATAATAAGAACAGGCTTCCTACTTTGATAAAAAATGATGTCTGTGTTTTTATTGAAATTTACTTTTGCACATAAATGTCCTTGCTTAGATGTTGCCAAACTTCTCAGTGTTTTTTTTTTTTTTTCCTCACCAGAGCTCCTACCCAGTGTGGGAAGATTTCAGTGCCAAGGCCACAAAGCTGCACTCTCAACTCAGGTGAGGAGTCGTACATGTGAACTCTCAACCTCAGAGGTGAAAACTATACAGTGCTTAATGTGACATCAGAATGCAGTAAACAGGCGGTTGTGTTTACAGGACTACTATTCTGGCAGCTGTGGCATTTTTAGATGCCTTTCAGAAGGTGGCAGATATGGCTACCAACTCTAGAGGTAAGAATTTCACCTATGGTTGTGATTAAGCTAAACTTTCCTCCTCTTTTAATGATATTAGAATATCCCTACCCCTACCTGTAAGTTTTAATATCTGAATGAGGAATATATATTCAAAAACAGTAGTTAACATACATTCTACTGACCAAACATATTGGATGCATGCAATATGAAACGTAGTCCATCATTTATTACATCTAAGCAGTCCTTTGCAATTGCATTGTAGCACACCCTGATATCCTGACAATAACTGGTTCTGTATATTTTGCAGCCTTGCACTCTGTTTCAATAAGTCATTTGTTGTCTTCATGGGACATTTTACTTTTGTTTTGTTTTGTTACTCACTTGATATGATGGAGATTTATCTGAGTCCTAATGTATGTGAACTCTCAGTATCTTTAAATTCAAACAGCATAACAATTGAGTTAAGATCTATTTACATTTGTACCATAACACCGATATTGTGAAGCCGGTGAGATGTATTCCAAAAGAATTGTCATTGAGAAAACACTGTGTGCAATATTAGTATTTCAAAAGGAATGATTGGATTGCAAAAAGTTGGGTAATATATCCCATGTCTTATGAAGTTGCATTTTACATCCTAACTTGTTATTTCACAATTTGGACATCCGCAGAGCAGCAGATGCTTACCCCAGATGCAAATGAGATTGCCCTACATGCTAGAGGTCAGTGTAGGAAACACAGATGAGAAAGAGAGGGAAGAATAAAGGGCATATCTTACAAATGAAATCGCCATTGCAATTCTTGTGTTTTATTTCCATTAAAAGATTTTCTTATAATATTTAGCCCCATGTTTTCGACTTAAATGGACAGTTAAACGTTTTTGAAGCGAGGATTCGAGATACTCTCAGTAATATACCTGTTACAAGCAGAAGAAACATGTCACCTCAACATAAGCTTGTTTACAAAGTAAATAAAACTGAATGAAGGCAAATAGGCTAGTCAGATAAGCCTTTATCTATATACCTTATCATCTGCTTTAATATATGAGCTGATCATGATGTTATATTCATCGGGGGCGTAAGTATTACACCATCTTTAGCTTATCATGTCTCATTCATTGATGATTAAAAATCTCAGTATGGTTGCAATTAATCTTGCGCGCTCAGATTTGGCTGGATTTGTTTATTTTAATATCTAAGTCTGTTTATTTACCAAAAAGTGGCACAGCTTGCTTGCTGCAAAGAAAATTGTTTGATAGAGAAAACACATTTTTTTTATTTGTCTTACATAATAAAAAAACAATTAAATTCTGAAATTAAGAGGGAAAGTTTTTATGTTTTTAATGAAAACTGCACCATAAGGTTTCATTCTTCGTAAACATTAAGTGTGGCTAGGGATGTCCAAGTGTGAATTGGATAATAGAGATGGGTCTGATATCAGCTAAAACATTAATAAAATATAACGGCCTGCATCTAAAATCTTTGATATAAAGAAGCTTATAGAAGCACGCTTCTATTAGCAGCAGCACCAACAGCAGGGATATAGTGGTAGGATTGTAATCAGTGACTCCCTCTACCAGAATTGAAAAATGCCTCCACCAGAACCATGAGCCAATACCTTGGATCGGATCAGAAATTCCCAACACAATGAGCCTTTTCATTCACTTCTTAACGCAAAGCGAAGGCTTAGAGCTGACAAGCAAATGGGTTTGTTTAAGCATACAGGTTTTTGTTTTTCTTTATAAGTGGTGATTTGTGAAGTCACATCTTTAAAGAATAAATAATATTCCTTTGTTTCCCTTCACTTCATCCAGGGAGCAGTTCTGCATGCCTGAATAATAATGATGCCTGAATCTTTGATCACAATTTTCTCACACCAAGTAGATAATGGAAGCAACAAAGAGAAATAAAAATCTGAGCTTTTTGTTTTTCTCTCAATGAAGTCTCCGGATATGCTCTGTCACCTGCTTGCAACAGCAAAGAGGCTGGGCAGAGGGCCGCTGATTAACACAGATTTCTTTGGACCCGATCGTCGAGAGCAGTATGTAGGTCAAAAAAAAATCCAGCGAACCCACATGAGCGTGCAAAGGCTCTTGACATACTCTCAAATACAATCACATGGGCTTAGATGCAAGCATGCTTGCACACACACATATATGTTTAGAGTGTGACAGCTGGTAGCCGGCTACCTGACCCCACAGGTCACATACCAGTGTGCTTTCAAATACTCTGTAGCTGCACCAGCCTGTCTTACAAGCATAAAGGGGATCTCAACAACACCATCTACTCACCATGATAACCATTTCTCTAATACACTTTTAACTTTATTTAGTTTAACATAGTTATCTCCATTATTACAGTAATTCCTTTAGATGATGCAAAAGGGTTTTACAAGACAAAGTAATATAGACTTGGCTTAACCAGCCTGTAGTGTGCACCAAAAAATTGGGGGTATGGACTATTATAGGGCAGGACTTCAAAGGAAGGGAATGCAGTTAAAGAAGTCAAGACAGCCAAATGATAGATGGCCCAGAGAGAGATGAGAGAGATGAGCAAACTGAGTTTCGCAGCTGGAGATGCATAACATCCCTGTAAGTGTGTCACTCATACACCCACTCACTCCCTTGCTTGTCTGCTAGCAACATTAACCTAAGGATTAATGTCATCCTTCTTAGGCCATAGACTATATGAGCCATGAGAGACTTTCAGAGCAATTAAGGGGAACTAATGAAACGTGGCCTAGACCCAAACAGAGCAGTCAGTTGCTAAAAAGGACTGAGGCTTTATTTTTATCATGTAACAACAGTGAGCTTTCAGTTTTTTTCGGGGCTGCATGATAAAAGGAAAATATGACATTGTGCTATTTTAGAATATTGAGATTGTATCGGTTCCAATTGATTTACATTTCACTTACGTCACTCCCCTTTTTTTCCCATCATCACAGTCTTGTTACCACTGTAGAACATTGTTGACTGCAGTCTTTATTAGAGCATTGAGGGTTGGAAACATTGATGTCAGAAATGGTAATGAAATGTAAAGATTTAATGAATGGTGCTTGGAATATTTAAGTGTACTCAATAATTCCTGCAAGTATTTCTTTGCAGTTGGAAGTGAAACTATAAATGCAAATCAAAATATTTTATAGATGACCATTTAATTGTTTTTTAAGTTAGTGAAACAACATTAAATATAGATGACATATCTTCCATGAATTTTTGTAATCACCTTTTGCAGCCTATATATTTAACTTGTATCATTAAGCAAATGTCACAATTTTTCCTGCAATATGTAGATGGCTAGATGTGATATATCTCTAGTTATCTACTGAATTAAAATCCGTGCAAACATATGCTTGAATATTCAGTAGCTTTGCAGTGTAGTAAAATAGCACACTGTAGGGTCTATATTAATGCCATTTATCTCCCTCACAAACATTCTGGATGCTGCAATAGTAATAATTTTTTACCAACACACAACTGCAGTCCTCAGTTAAGCTGCTTTTGTTATTAATTTAAAAAAAATATGTAGCAGTTTAAGTGCTAGGCTAATGTAAGCATGTTTGGGTCTGTTTGGCTATTACTTGTGGATCATTTGTCTATGAAAGTTTTGTATGACATTTTGGTTAATCCTATGTGTGCGGAACTCACACAAAAGGTTCCTTTGGTGCTTCATGAACTTAGAGCTTTTTTTGTGATTGGCATGTAGTTTAATGACTTGTATAAATGCACAGACATGTTTACACAGAACAGACAAACAGGAATAGAACATCACAGTAGAGGATGCAAAATTAATTTTTAGAAAACTAATACTATTCAAAAAAAGATCATTTGAAACTGATCATTTAAAATTGGCTTTGCTAATACTGGGAATCAGATGTGGACAACAAATAATAAAATCATTAAATTAATAAATCATTTAAAACATTAATGCAAAAGGTATTTAGAAGTTGAACTGTCATCAACCTTCTGTCATGTGATAGTAGGATTGGTTTCCTGTTTGTAGTCCTACCAACATAGAGAATTTGTGAGGTTTGACTCCAGTTTATGAGGCCATCATATATATTTTTTTTTTTTTTGCTGGAAAAGGCAAACAATTTTATTCAAAATGGACAATCTGCAGCACTTGACAGAAAGACCACATTGAAGTTGGCATGTCTTCAGTCTATTCAAGCCAGTTTCTAGATTCCCTTTTTTGTCTGTTGTAATCTGATTTTAGTAAAAAATGTTCAGGATAAAAGAAATTTAAAACCTTGCACCTTAGATAATATATCCTGGAAGTATTATTAATTAACAAATACATACATCTAAAACCCTTGAGGAAAAAAGAACCAGTTGAAAAACCTAGAAACTCCTCTTTGATCAAAGTCTTAAACACTTTTTATTGGTAAAAATATGACTTGTTTTTTCAAATAACAGGTGTTTAGTCAGTTTAAGAGAAACTTTGGTACCCTTCCCCCATTATTATGGTTGGTTTGGGCAAACGATAAATGTCTGTCTGGGTTGGGATTCAAATCCAGGCTGGGTGTGTTGAGGATACTACCTTTTAGATATGCAAAGTAAAGGCTAATGTTTTAAACCCAGTATTTGTTCGGCAATGAACAGAAGTGAGGAAACAAAAGGGGTTTTTGACAGTTATTTCCCACCTTGATTTTGTTTTTTTACATGGTTAAGAAAATCCAGTAAACACGGTATGCTTTTAAGGTACTCTAAACCAGAGTGACATTTCAATTTAATTGCTCCTTTGGGATCTGTTTTCTTTGTTGCCTGATCCAAACTCTAATTAATTTGGCTGCAGGAATGTCGATATTCATTGGACCAGGCCTGTGCTAGTCAGGAGTGATCTTTGATGATCAGCCTGCTGATTCCATGACTGCAGTTTGGCCGCTTTAACCATTTGACTACTGCTACATTTAAAAAGAATTATATAAAAAAAAAAGCAAAAATAAGCATAGCACAAATACTCACCTCATTAATGTTCACTGCACTTTTTACACATCAGCTGTTAAACAGCAAAAAGCTGTTTGCATTTTGCTGTCTG